CACTTTTGGTTTGAATTTGAGATGGACTGCACACCAGAACTCGTTGGTTGCAAAGGTTTTGAAGATATGGTTAGTGAATGCTTGGTTAAGAGTATGGCTGATCCATTGCTTGCCGATTGACTTGGGATACTTGTGATAATGGTGATGTTATTTAATGATTTTGGTAGAGGATTACATTTTGTAGTTTTGGTTTCAGAACAACAAAGAATACTCCGTTCGTTAGTGATGCTTTTGATTAGCTCAAGAAGTTTTCCTCGAGAGTTGAGGCCTTGAACATTGAGTGTTGAAATTGAGATGAGGTTTTTTGTGTGGCAGGAGATATTTACTGGTGATGATTGATGGTTAGATCTAATTGAATTGTTGGTACTTGTAAGTGGATTATCAAGTAAGATGGTTTCTAAGGAGTGGGTTGAGTTGGGCTCTTCTGTCATGATTAGATAAGTATAGGGAGAAGAGTCAACTTTGGCTCAGGTGGCTCGGGCTCAATGATGAAATCTTACGGAAGTTTGTCAAAGTGAAAATGTGTATCAAGGATTTTGATTTTCTCACTGAGTTGTGGGTCATCCAATAGGGGTATTGATAATTGAATGTTTTTGCCAGCTAGGATTTTGTTTGTTTCATTTATGTCAGGAAGTGTTGATAAGAGAGGTGTGATCCATTCTCTTGGTATTGTACCTGTGTAGTTGTTTTTAATCTTGAAGATCGTTTGTCTAAAGTCAGGGGAGTTTCTGTCCAGTTGCTCTTTGTTGATATTGAGTTCTTGTTCTACTGTGCTTAACTCGACAGGAAGCTTTGGCTTGTCAAATTGAGTTAGGTTTTTGTTGATTTATTCAGGTCCCAAAGGAAGTTTTACAAAGAATTTTGACTTGAGATCCTTTATGAGTTCATTTGCTTCTTCTTGTGTAGTGATGGGCAGGAGAATGGCATTATTTTCACTAGTGATTGGACTCATAATAACTCGTAACTCATGAATCAAAGCTTAAAAGAGTACTCGAATTATTCGAATAATATAATTAAGTTATTATTTTTGAATTATTTAAATTATTTATGAATTATAGTACAGTAAAAAGAAATATCGATATATATATATACTTGGTTATAATAATAAAAGCAAATATTTTTATTATCGTTATAAAGCAGATACATTATTCACTAACTGGAAATATTGTGTCTAATAAATTCATATTTCTCTTTAAAAATAACATTTCACCCACCAATTCTGGATTAAGATTTGTGCGTTTTGCTGTAATATTATTTCCTACATCTGAAAATAGCCGTTCTGATGAGACTGAAGTTGCTGATACACATAAATACTTTCGAGCAATTTTTGATAATATTGGAAATCGGGTTTTTTTAATATTCCACCATTGAAAAGGATCTGTTCGTCTTCCTTCCTCTTCCAAAGATAAGTATTCATCAATTTCACTAATCTTATTATTGTTGTCAACATAAAAATCTAATAAAATTGATTTTCGTTTCTTTTGAACTCTACTAGTTTCTAAATCTTCATTTTGAATATTAGACAAAGATACTGAATATTTAGGAGCCGTATAAGTTTTACTCTCTGATTCATATAATTCTCTTAACTTTTCATTAGTTTTTTGAATTATAGTTGCATTTGCAAAGCGCAATTTTTTAAAACGTGGATCAAGTAAACATGCTAGCATACCGATATCTGAAACTGATTGCCAATACTTGTGCATACTATCATAAAGTACTTTTTTAACTTTTTCAAGCATCCCGACAGTAACCATTGGAACTAAAATATCAATTTTTTTATGAACAATTCCTGTTAAATCAACTTCCTTAATTTCAACAAAATCTTTTGTATCCTCTATAATTTCTTCCATAGAATCAAGAATTGTTAATTCGCTTATGTCTGTTGTAACTGATTCAATATAAAATTGTTGAAGTGATGATTTTAAAGTTTTAATCAATACTGAAATTGCTGGATATATTAAAGAAATTGTTACGTAAGTATTTCCACTTAATAATGTTGTTATTTCTTCGAAGCCATATAAAATATCATTTAATTCATCTAAAAATTTCCATTCATCATCAGTAATCATAATACGTGCTAATCGTTCACCATCTTTTCGAACAGATACATTCTCATCTGATTGAAGGCGTGATGGAAGATATATTATTACTCTTTTTAAATAAAGTAATCTTTCCCATGCATAAAATGATGAATTCCACCGTGTAGAAATATCGCCAATTGTTGATAGATGTTTTTTGAATCCAAGATCTTTTTGTGCAGTAAGAAGATATTCGGTTTGTTTTGGTGAATTATTAAAAAAATCAATTAATCTTTTTACACGTAAAACTAGATGTTTAACTACATTTAATCCTTTTCCAACAGATAATTGAAGTACATGAGCTGTACAAGCAATTCTATTAAGTCCTAACAGTTGAGTAGCCTTTTTTATATTCGTTCCATTATCAGTTGTTATTGCTATCATCTTATTAATTAAATTCCATTCAATTAAAATGCGATTTAATAATTCAGCAATAATTTCACCCGTATGAGGATATAAAACATGTTGTAAAATTAAAAGTGCTTCTTTAAGTTCCCAAGATTCTGAAATCCAAGCACACGTAACTCCAATATATCCATGATGACGACGACTTGTCCAAAAATCCATTGTTATAGATATAGCAATACTGTTATTTTCTATTAAGTTCATTAATCGGGGTTTACTTCAAGAAAATGCTTTGCTAACTATAGTCTTTATCGTCTTATTACAAGGAATTGAAAAATTTTCATCAAGAGAATGTAGTAATTTTTGAAAACTTCTACTTTCTACAATATTGAATGGCTGTGAATCATCGATAATAAATGTAATTAAATTTTGTCGTATTAATTCATATTCACTTTCAGTTCTAATAAATTGATTTCTAATAATTTTACTAGGACGACAAGAATTATTTTTAAATATCCTATGCTTACGTGCAAGATGATTAATTAAATTTGAAGTTGTTGAGCCATCGTTATATGAGATTCCACATTCTGTTCCATCATCCAATATAACTTGACAAGTTGCAGTTATACCATTTTTGTCTTTTCGAAAATAGTCCCAAACGAAACTTTTGGATAAACCTTTGGACTTATGTGTAACTTTGCTTTGACTAATTTCTTCATAATAGGATTTTTCCTGTTCGTTGTCATTATTGTTTTGTGTCATATTTGTATAACGAATTTTTTTAAAATGTTAAAGATTTATTTTATTAAAAATTCACGATGATAATAATTGTTTCATAATTACATAATATAATAACGTAATTATTGCACTATAATTAACTTATAAGTTACTCGCGAGTTAAAATTTCATGATTCGAATTGTGATAAACTCGAATTACTCGAATTACGAATTGACAAGTCCAATCACTACTAGGCATATTATTGCCGATATGCTGGATGATATCATGATAAATGAGATCGTCTCATTATACTGTAGTAGTTAAATTCTTGATGCTATTACGTAATTGGATATTTAAAAATCTTTTTATATGTGTTTATAATAGCTCTAGTTTTCACCCTTCAATGAAAATTCGCAAAATAATGAGACTAATTTATTATGTTCCACCCTTATTATTGATCGGCCTAGTCGTTGTTATTGAGAGTTGAAAGCAATGTTTTAATTCAGCTGCGGCGTCGATTGATGAATATCTGTGTCACGTGGCTAGACACATCGTGGCTTTCCTTAACTAGATATAATGACATCGGAGATAACCATATATAATCATAATGAAGGCATTGGAGATGATCAAAATTGTAAACAAACAGTTTATTATTATTATTTGCTTTAATTTTGTTACTATTATATATTTATATTTACATTGCATGTAAAACAAAACATTGCAAAATTATTTATTTTTTTTGTTATTTAAGATTTATTATATTAAAACTTAATGAAACCTATTTTAGAATATAATCTATAATTTATATAATTCAATTAATAGCACTTTTATATGAAATATTTGATTTTGATCTGTTGCAATTGATTTTTATAATAAATTGTATCTTTCAATAATAAAAAAATTAATTATAACGTAATATAATAATCAAAAATAGCAGATATATTTTTGCATATAATTTAATAAATATAAATATATATTATCATTAACTCAATATTATAAAATTTAAAATTCAAAAAAATTTCTTAAATAAATAATTTTTTTGACAAGTGACTTGTTATATATTTTGCTTAGTAAATAATATATGATAAAATTTTTAAAAAGAATTTTAAAATAGATTATAATATTTAAAAATAATAGTTTTAATTATATTTAAAAAACTTTTGATATAACATATAATATTAACAATATAATTTTAAAATAATAATATAAAAATATTTTTCAAATATAAGAATTAAAAGAATAGTTTCATTTATATAAAAAAATTATAAAATATTGTTATAATTTTAAAAATCAATTTATTTGCAAAAATTTATTATTATAAATTATTTAAATAAAAAAATTTTTACTAATAAAAAAATTACATAATAGTTTTTGAATTATTGTTTAATAAATCTTTTTAGCAAAATATAAAATATTTTTGAATTTTAAATATTATTTTATAATATTATTACTATATAATAATAAAACCTTTTAATTAATTTTAATTTTTTTTTATAGATAAACATTATTTTTTTATTTTTTTGTAAGTAAACATTGTCACTTTATTAATTGTAAAAAGTTCAGATTTTCTATATGACAAAAGTAACAACATCTCTTATATAACATGTTAAATTAATAAGTTTAATGCTAGCCTGCCTATGTTAATTACTTAATTAATATTAAAATAAATTTTTTTAAATTTTGTCAAAAGGTTTTAAACAACTATAATTACTTATTTTGTATTAAATAGAAAAAAATTAAGATAATTAGATATTAGCTTAAAAATACATTTGAAAAAACTATATTTATTTTGGATATAAAAGTCTATTGCTATAATTAATAAATTAATAATAGTTGAAATTAATATAAAGATAGAAGAGAAATTGTTAAATAATTTAAATTTGATCATATTTTTGATAATCAATTTTGTTGAGATATTGAAAAAATTGTTATTTCGTTTAATGCCAAGAAAAAAAGAAATATTTTTATAGTATAAAAAGATATCTAAATTGATTTATATAAATAAATTAGTATCTCAGTTAATATTTAAATTCAATTGAAAAAGTTAATTATAAAAAAATATTGTTAATAATAGTATATATCAATTTTATTAACTAATAAGTATATGAAATTAAATTATAATTATTATTAAAATAAAGAATATTGTTAATAATATTATATATTAATTTTATTAACTAATAGGTATATAAAAATGAATTATAATTATTATTAAAATGGAAAATATTGTTAATAATGCTAATAAGCTGATAAATTTTTTCTAATACTATTAGATATTTAAAAACATATTGAATATTTTTGATATACAAGCTATATTTGAAACAATATAGATCTAAACTTTTTTTTTTTTTTTTTTTTGGATTTCCTCTCATAGGTAAGCATCATTTCTTTATTTAATATTGTATATAACATGGTATACATAGTGAAAGAAACAACATCTCTTACGTACATATGTAGCAAGTTAAATGCTAGCCTGCCTACGCGAACACATCTAGCTAA